TCCTGAAGAAAAGAACAAAAGATATATAAAAGACGGAGAGAAGCTGACAACAAAATAGCAATAAACCATAAGGTGATTTGGTGCTTACACATGTGTCCCGGCCCGACATATAGTCACAGGTAGAGACTCACCCACACCTCAATTTTATTTTATTTTCAGTGGCGAAATTTTTTTTTTATACAGATGAAATTATACAAAATAAAAAAATGGATAGAAATAGCCAGTTGAGAATAAAAGGGGGTCCCATTTAAAGAAAAAGTTAAATCATTAGAGTAAAAAAATTTGGTTCGATGCTTTACGATAATAAAAACAAATAAAAGCCGATTTGATTAGCCTCCCCATTTGCCGTCCCGTTACATTCCCGACATCACCAAGTGATTAAATATTCAAAGATGTACCGTTTAAATAAATCAATCCGCGATCGGAGGAGAATCGCGTCGTGTGCAAAAATAACACAATCGCCAAAATAGTTGAAAACGCAGCTGTGACGTGACGGTAGCATTCATGGAGTCAGTGGCCAAGATGTAACGTTTAACACAAGCTGAGGGAAGCCAATGAATGCTTGAAAATTGCCGGTTGTTCTGAGAAAAACGGTATCGCACGAATCAGCGAAGTAATTGCAACTTTATTTTAACTAGTGGAAAATTAAATATGTCTACCTAATCCCTGCAAAATTACTATGCATATATTTATGATATACTGCAAAGTTTTACTTTTCTATCAAAATAAACGTTCTATTTACGCATATGATATCAAAACACGCGAGTTCGCTAAATTATTCTAGTATTTTTCATTGGTAAGAGCATCTTAAGTACGTATAATCAAGATTCAAGAATTTCTCATACATTTGATTGTTTTATTATATTCAAGCCCTACATAAAAGTAAGGGAAACTAGACCGTCCAAACTGTAGAGTACATCACTTTGACTTTGTCATACTAACCATAACGTTGGAGGAATGATATATTGTTTTGTGAATGATGTGTAATTTGATCCGCCTGTGTTCAGTCTTGCTTAAATTTTTGTTAGGTAAGTGCTGACGTGTACACATTTACACCATGTCTACATCAAGTAGCCGTTGGACCTTGACACAGTCTCGCAGCTAAACTACTCTCTGGAGCGCAATTATCGGCAACATTGACGTCCGTTACTACTCTGTGGATGAATATAAAGTGTTTGTCAGCTGAGATGGGTCCATGCATGAATAAAACAATTTACGATATCATTGCTATGTAGTGTATTAGTTTGGTAGGTACACAAATAACCTTTATTTGGTTAAAATAATTAATTTGGGAACTCACAACGGTCATCATCCCAACAAGTATGCTGGGAGCAAACTAGCGAAGTAAAGAGTTCTGTGCTAACGTGAGCATAGTAATGCACGTGAGCTAATGGAAGATCCCAATGTGCATGGAATATTCACGTGCGATATTTTTTTTGTTTGCATCAAATGTTAAGAGGGCAAATCGCAACCGTTAACTTTTTTCTATTGGGATTTTCCTAACATGCATGTGGGCAATTACTTTGTTGCTGGATCCAACGGCTACGATCCGGGATTTGGTTTTGTGCATTAACCCAATAATTAGCCGAATATATAATAACCGATTATCATTCAGTCACGTCTGGTTCGCTTAGCAGTAAAAAGACGTTGTGGGGGCAACGAACTGGTGATATGATTTCATTTACGAGGGCCTTCTTGTCAAGGACCCATTTCAGATAACACTCGAAAAGCTTATAAAGGCCATGCAGTTACGTATCGCGTCAGAAACAGTTCTTTAATATTTCAAAGCCCAATATGTAACCTATTATCATTAAGTAACCAACATACATGCATCATTGTTTGACAAAAAATGGAAAAAATATTATCCTTCGTTTTCCTTCTCTCCGTAATGAATGGTCATATGCCACCTAAATAATTAATTCTATTTTCTCCATCTAAATTTGACCATGTCTTATTTGATATAGTTATGTTACTTGAATGGTTTTATTTATCATATGTTCAAAGAAACAATATATACTATGCGTCAAATTATGTAGAGGAAGAGTTTGACCATGGATTCTTTGATATAACTATGATATTTGATTGAATGAATTCAGTTGAAAAGCAATAAGAATACAGTTTGCTGATCATATATTCAAATCAACATTTTAACCTTGGGTCAAAATTAAGACTTTATAGTATAAACTATTTAGACGATGTTCTATGAATAATATACGGTGATAGTTATACTGTTGAATCGTTCAAATTATCTATTTGACTATATACTTGGTCAAGATAGTTGACAAGAAATTGGCATTTTCATCTTGGTTTGGAATTTTCTCCGGAAGAAAATCTATCTAAACCAAGCTAATACTCGACTCAAATTCTGGCTGAATTCAATTTATATATCCTTGGCTTGTTTTTGTGTATCCAATCCTTTAGTATATAAAAATTCTCATATTTTCATTATTATCTACAAAACAAGTTGTATTTATTGGATACTTGCCTTGCCCACCCTAGTTGAAACATGTATCCATCTATATATTTTGCATTTAAAAAAAAATATTATACCGTTCTTTATGGGCCTTATTTCTTCCATCTTTCTAACTCTTCCATACCCCTCAAATTTTAAGAATAAACAATATTATTGGACATAGTAACGGGACCTCTCACTTTCGGTCTTTCCTCTATTCTTCGTCTTGGAGCTCTCTCTTTATACAGATTAAAGATCAATAATTTCTTACATCAAATAATTAAGATTGCAGCTCTGGAAAAAAGGCAATAGAAGGTAGGGCCAAAGTGAGTTAGATAGATGAGATTAGAATCAAACGTTCGAAAAAATCCAAAAGATTGAAACCCTTAGCTGTATTCGCTGTAGAAACCCCATTCGTTTATATTCCAAACCCTTATACGTAAGCAATTCATTCGTTCACCAATATTTTGCATGGCCAAGTTCTACTAATTTTAAGTTAAACTAATAACAAAGTCGAGCTAAGATATGTTTTTGGTCATAGTTATTACTTATTAGGTCACTAAATGAATTCAGTTTATCAAAACAAATATGTATGTATAAGTCTTATATATTAGATTTATATGCGGGCGTAAACACTTGCGTGTGATTTTATGTTTCATAGTTTGATTAAAAGGCAGTTCTATTTATTTATTTATTGTTTTGGGTTGTTTTCACACATCAAATATTTTAGTATAAGTAACCCTCTAAGATATCATCCGTACCCGACAGAACCGATACGCAAAACACATTCTAGCACATTCTCTTCTCTTCTGTTCTCTTTCAATATTAGCTGACTCATCATCTTCTTGAGCAAGAAGCAAACCAAACTAAAATCAGATGGACGTCTCAGCAGATCGAACAACTTTTAAGCGTCACTCGTCGCTTTCTACGCTTGTGGCTCATTTCTTTGGCATATTAGCCGTTGTTCTAATGCTCATATGGCTTCTCCATTACCGCGAAGGCATCGAGTATGACTCCGACAATCCCCTTAAGATTTTAAATGTAAGTTTGTGTCTTTACACGCTTTGTGTGTGTATACATATCCACTTCAATCCGTTCATGTTTTAACTGGATTAACATTTATTTTTCTAATGACTCTTTTGGTTCGTAAATGGTTGATTTATATAGGTGCACCCATTTCTCATGTACTGCGGCTTTCTCTTCCTCGTGGGACAAGGTAATTTATTCACGACCTAAACAAATAACAAAAACTACTTATAATATTGTGGTTCTTGGCAAATATAATTTAATTTCGCGTACAGATTTATCTAGCACGGATGTTTCTAGTATAGAACTAGTTAGGTTTAAGTTGAAATTTGCCATAAAATTATGTCAATTTTGAGAGAAAATTGCTATAGAAGAGAGCAATATAGCTTTCTTCCATATACATAATAATTTTTCTGTTGGCTTAATGTAAATAGAAAGTTCTAGGCTGACAAAGAAATTACATTCGAGATTATGCATGACTTAATTATAAAATAATTTATATTTGACAATGATTATGCAGCGATGATGACGTACAAAACGTCATATGCCTCGCACCAAGTACAGAAAATGGTTCACGGTGCGCTTCACTTAATAGGATTAGTTCTAGGTATTGTCGGAATCTCAGCTGCCTTTAAATTCCACGACAAATTAAACCTTAAAGACATGGTCTCTCTTCACTCCTGGATCGGCCTCACCACCTTCATCCTCCTTGGTCTCCAGGTTAATTCAGTTCATAGAAAAAAGACATGGAATAATTTTAACGTTTAATTTAAACCATCGTTTGTTGAATTCTTTTGGTGGTGATGATGTACGTTACAGTGGCTAGTTGGTGCATTCACATTCCTTGCGCCACAATCTTCATCAGGGAACAGAGCAAGGATGATGCCATGGCACGTCTTAGGTGGCCGAGCTCTACTTTATATGGGTATCGTCGCAGCACTTACCGGACTCATGGAGAGAGCCACGATGCTTGGTCAGAGCACAAACGCTGAGTCACGTCTCATTAACTTCACCGGCTTAGCCATTCTACTCTTTGGCGTTTCCGTCGACTTCTCCGTCGCTCTTGGCCGTTATGGTTGACGGATTCCTATGTTAGCCTACCGTTGAATTAATCTTTATGCATTGTATCATTCAATGAGTTCTTGTTTATTTGATTGTTTGTTTTGGTGTGTAAATGTGATTGGTGTGATATCTAATCGGGCCCTGAGAGTGATTATTTGATTCTAAATTACACTTTTGGTTGTGTTTTCTTTGTTGTTATTTCATCTTTGATGCTTACTGAAAGTTATTATTATCATATTATAATTGTAGTGGTAAATTCCCACGTCAGAAAGCAATTTCAACGGTCCGGAAAAAATCTTGAAGAACCTAATAAAGGCTCACTTATCTTAGGGAAACAGAAACTTTATCTTCTGGCCAATATAAAAGACAGTGAGGATTAAAAATAGAAGAAATCTTTCAGATCTTATTAAAGAGAAAACAAAAAATCATTCTTTAATAAAATAGGAGTGTAATGTATAGACTATAGAGGAAAATAAGCAATGAATGGGTGTGGCGACACAAATGGTGGCTTAATGATTGGTATTAGTAAATACCAAGACAAGAGCTAATTAAGTTCAGAGATTAAGTACTACATATATCTGTTTATATACCTTATATAGTTATATTTCTTAAATGGTAATAATAACCTGTGAGTTACTTGATGTATACTGTGTTCTGGTTTTGAGGTATTTCTTCTTGTGGATTGCTTACTGGTCAAGCAACCATTCCAGGCTCTGTATTTGAAAATTTTTAAACACATTCAGAAACCGTTTTAGTGGAAAAATGTAAGTCTGATACGATGAGAGTGGTGTTAAGAAATACCTTGACGCATTCAGGCAGGTCGTTATCTTTTGTTCTAACATGAACCTGCAGAAAGAGGGAAAGAGGGATAGGGATTGTGAATATTCTGTAAGTCTTTAAGTAGTGTTGAAGAGATCGGTACCTTTATGACTCGTTGGTAGGCTGAGATCTTGTTGTGTTCAATGCAGGCGAGAATCACGAGCCCGGCTGCAACAGTTGAGGGCCAAAAACAGAGTTGAGTGTGATCTGATAGTGAGCTAACGGCCAAGGATCTGGCTTTCTTTTCAACTTCTGGATTGGCTCGTGCAACTTTTAGGTAAAACCTGAGATGTAACAATGATCGTTATATGTTTATTTTAGTGTGGGTGTGTGTGTATGTGTCTTGGAACAGAAAATATGTAGTGATAGAGGACATTACCATAAGAAGTTAAAGATTGTGGGTGAGAAGCATTTGAAGTTGAGAACTTCCTGAACAAGCCACTCCATTGCCACCACTTCATGCCGGCTATACTTCAGGTTCTGAATGTAGAAGTACCTTTTCCGAATGCTAATCAAATGGAGAGAGTATCAGGTGAGCAGCTGACAGAAAACTGATTATTGCTGTCCGTGTGTGTGTGTGTGTGTGCAGAAGCTTTTGTAGTACAGAGCTTTTTAAAAACAGAGTCCAATTTTTTTGACACACATGACTATACAGGATTTGTTTGAAACCGTATAGGATTTATATTAAAACTCAGTTTCTTGAAATGGTCCTCTTACCTATTGAGACACTTTATCTCATGAACACTTTAAGTAAGAATAATGAAATGGTTGGTACCTATTGTAAAGTTGGTTTTCTTCAATTCTGGTGGCCAGAGTAAGACTCGCAATCCCGACTAGTACTAGAGTCCTCTCGCTGTTGAAGGATCCTTTGCTCAGGAAACGATCCAACAGACTAACTCCTAGAAACATCGTCTCCGGCTGAAGCTCCATTTCAGAACATTGCTGCGTATATAGTCAGAGAGAAGACACTCAGCAAACAAAACAATACTACAATCTCGCTCATACATTCATGAACCATAAAAGATTCAGAGATGAGCCATAGATTTCCTTATAAGCCTGCAACAAAATCTCCAGATATTCGTTTCTAACAACATTAACTATCATAAATGAATCAAGACACTTAGAATCTTCCCATATTACTGAACTTCGAACATTAAGAATGATAATAATGTTCACACCTCCACAATCCATTGAACCATGATCAAGCGCAGACGAGGGATGAAATCAGTATGATCCATCCTGGAGGAGTAAGCCTTAGCACAGTCACGCAGATACGCATGACTTTTCTCTCTTTCCCTCAGCCTTTGATAGCTCTCTTCCACCTCTTCATCCTCAAACCTCATAAGCTAAAAACAATAATAGCAGAAATCAAATTACACTAGCAACCGAGTGAAAATTCCAAAGCAATTAACCACACATTACAATCTGTAATCAATAGCAATTACTCCAAGAGATATGAGAAAGCATTATACACATACTTCAGATTGAGCCTCACGGCTTTGATCCTGGTGAGAAGATTCGAAATCGTTCGGGATCGTGGATCTACAGAACTGTGCCACGAGCTGGAGGTAGAGAGAGCGAGTATGCGAAACGGGAGAATCAGAGCAAGATTTCTCAGAGAATTCACTTCCGGAATCGAAAAATATCGACGGAGTGTAATCCGATGAAACGACGTCGTCGGAGTACTGCGAAAATATCTCCGATGACTCATCCTCGTGAGAATCCGAAACCTCTTCGTCTCTGAACGTCTCCGTGCAAGCGAGATCAGAGACGCATCCGATTGTCTCAATCTCCAGCTTCGGTTTGGAGATTTCAGTTTGTTCGTTATCGTCTCCTCCTCCAGTTACGCTCCCGAACTTGGAGCAAGAGTCCACTCCCGATATTAATGAAACGACGTCGCTCTCTTTATTCTCGGCAAAGGTCACGTGACTCACGTCGGATCGTGTGAAGGACGTTTCGCTTACTTCGATTTTATCTCCTTCCTTCTCCTTGGTTAGCTTAGAGTATGATCTCGTGATCCTCCGAAATTTAGAATCAGCGATCACGTCTTTGCCACGTGCAGACACTACTTCCTCTTCACTTCGAATCTTCGAGCTCTTCTCGACTCTGCTAGAACCGCATGAAACGTCGTCGTCGACTGCGGAAAGCAGATTAGAGCAGGAATCGACTGAAGCAGCGGATAGTGGAGAGATCAGAGCTCGCTTCCGGCTTGAATGTTGTATTGATTGAAGCTTCTTCACGGCGAACGGCGTCGCTTCAGCCTTACGCTTTGAGTTCCTCGACGCGATCTCCTTCATCTTTTGAGACGAAAATTTCAAATTCGAATTTGAAAACGGAATTTCGTTTTTGGTTGGTTAGTTGGTTGTTAGAGACTGGAGAGTGGGATGCAGTTATAGTGAGAGAAGTGGTGATGGTGGAGAGTGATAGAGGTTTTTATACGCTGCGGGTAGGTCCACCTGAACGTCCTTTTAGTAGTCGCAGATCGCAACCTTGGGACGCTGGTCTCCTTTGACATCCGCGTTGCGTTTGCGTTTGCGTTTGAACTGATTGATCTTTTGATCACAATCACATGTCAGGCTTCCGACTAGTTTTTATAAGTTGATTAATATTTGGGCCGAAATATATCTAAATGTCCATGATATAACAGAGCCCAACACTTTTAAGGAAGTGGCAAAGATTGCGAAAGTGTGAATCCCCTTAAGCCAGTTGAATCCGATCAATTTTAAAATATACTAGATTTTGACCCGCGCTTAAAAAGCGCGGAAATTTTTTATGATTAAAAATTTATTTAATTGGGTTTTGTCTTAATTTAAAGAATATTTTGATATAAAATCAGTTCACCAAAATTTGTGGTGATGATTGTTTTTCACTACTTTTTAGTTTCAGTTTTTATTTTTAGATTTTGGTTTTTAGTTTTTAAGTTTCTACTTTTCATTTTCAGTTTTTGGTTTGTGTTTTTAATTTTTAAACCCGCTAAATTAGTTTGAACCAATATTACCAACAAACAAATCTCAAATAATCAAACATCTAATTTAAAACTGAAAAGATGACAACAAATTAAAAAAAAAATTGAAATAGTTTATTTTGTAAATAAACAAAGCAAAAAAAATATAACATGTGTTTTCAGCTTTTGGTTTTGGATTTTAGTTTTTAGATTTGGTTTTTGATTTTGTTTTACATTTTTTTTATCAGTAAATTCTTTAAGAAAAATAAAACAATAAATTATTTAAAAGTTACCATTGAAATTTATCAAAACAAAGTGATTGTTATTTAAAATAAAAAAAAATATTAACATGTTTTAAAGTACATGATTTAAATAAAATATTAATAATAGATAATTTTGTTTTGTTAATAATATTAAATAAATTTTGGGTCTGAAAATAATAATTGATTTTTTGATCTTTCAAGGTGAAAAGTTTATTTAATTTTTTTGGAGTTTTTTTCTTAATATTAAACCCAAAAACCAAACTATATAATTTGTTCAGAAAATAAAAGTAAGCCTAAGACGATATTCCATAAATAACCACTGGTTTAATTTAAGTATAATTAGTAGATTTTCATATTCCATATTTTTATGATATATATTCTTTTAGAACATTCCATCTTTGTAGGAGAAAATATGTGTTTTCGGTATACACATAGATACCTGCCGTATTTTGAAGGTAGTTTACATTAAGTTCGTCTATTTACATTAATTGTGTTGGTTTAATTTAAGTAATACGGTTCAATCAATAATATGACTTATATTATTAGTAACATTCTAGAAAAGGTCCAAATTTAAATGAAAACTTGTATCAGTAGATAAAAAGAATGATTCTATTTTAATAGAGTAGATATATACTACAGATTCGGATTACAGTTCAGGATATCATATGAGCCAAACTTAAATACAAAAGATCCCTCTACATTTATATTGGTATGTTCATAATTACATCTTTATCAAAAAGTTTTACAAGTATGGTATGTACAGATCCATATGTAACAGATGAAGGACACTGATTGAATCAGATCAATATAAATCCAGTCCAAATTAATGAAATCCTAGTCTCTCCCTTTGACCAAAAAGTAAATATTTTTCCTAAATAGAATTCTTTTCTTTTACATAAAAGTATCTCCATTCTCACATGTATAACTAGACCTCTACTATTGAATTGAATAAAAACTGCAAATCATGAAGAACCTCTCAGTATTCCTTGTTCTTTTTATGGCCATCTTCATTGTTTCAGGTACAAAGTTGATCTTAATTCTAAATTTAATATATATATGTCACAAAATTCTTTGTTGTCCTTATGTATTTGTTTGAGGTAACATTATGATTTTTCTTATATTGACTGTTTGAGGTGCGAGAGAGATGAGAATGGATCAGGAGAAGAAAACTTGTCCCATTTTCTGGCCAATGGTTCCATGCGAAGCTAAAAAATGCGAGAAGATGTGTCTTGACTTTTACGGTCCACCGGTTTCCTCTTACTGTGATAAACCAGGAGCCTCAAACGCTAGCTGTGCATGTCTTCTTACAGACTGTTAATGATGCGTTATGCCTTTTGATCGGTGCGTTATTGTGTATTTCATCATCTATGTACCCAACAATAAGTAATGCAACAAACGTTAATTACTTTGTCCTAAGAACAAATATAGAGACGCATGCATTCTAATTGGTTTATCCGCACTATTGGAAGAAGAAAAATCGTCGAAATGTTGAGTAAGCCAATTCTCGAAAAGGAACTTTTGGTTTTATTTTCGTTAAAAGGCAAAGCAGGAGGGCGTGATATAGTACATTTTTCTCAAATTGTGATTGCTATTAATCGAGTTTAGAAAAGCGTTTCCGAAAACGCAACACAATAAAACAAGCACAGTAGTAATTTAACGATTTGGAAAATGCGTTTGACATATTAGGACCGAAGAAATGTCACGTTTCCCTCTTATTAAGGGGGTGGTGATGAGAGAACAATAGCCCTGTTCGTTTGGTTGCCGCAGGTTTCTGCGTCTGCGGCTGCGGCTGAGTCTGCGGCTGCGGCTGCGTCTGTTGATTTATGTGTTGTTCGTTTCGCAGACGCAGCCGCAGCCGCAGACGCAGCCGTAGCCGCAGACGCAGCCGTAGACGCAGAATTTTGTTCGTTTAAGAGACGCAGGACATTGACGCAGACGCAGACGCAGACGTACGAAGATGATTTATTATGTTCGTTTGGCAGACGCCGACGCATGAAGTTTTATTTTCATTTAATTCATATTTTAATTTAAAAATTTGTAAATTGTATTTTAAATAGATAAAATGTAGTTNAGCCGCAGACGCAGCCGTAGACGCAGAATTTTGTTCGTTTAAGAGACGCAGGACATTGACGCAGACGCAGACGCAGACGTACGAAGATGATTTATTATGTTCGTTTGGCAGACGCCGACGCATGAAGTTTTATTTTCATTTAATTCATATTTTAATTTAAAAATTTGTAAATTGTATTTTAAATAGATAAAATGTAGTTTAAATTTGTCAAATTTTATTTTAATTAAAGAAACTGCTGTTTAAATATATTTTACATCCATCAAAATATTTTATTTAATTGGTAATAAATTTTTAGACAAATATACTAATTTAACAACATTTTTTATCATAAATATTATAAATAAAACAAAGTTTTAAACAACAAAGTCTTAAACCACAAATAATATATCAAAGTATTTAACACAAAACAAAAGTTAAATATTACATCAAATCTTGAATAAATAAAACAAAATCTTAAACAAAGTCTTTAACAATAATATTTAATACGGTAAACATCTATCGCATTCATTTGTGATGTTCTTACGCACTTCTTCCATCACTTCATCACGAGTCGGCTCATATGAAGTACTAACTTCTTCTTGTTCTTCACCATTACCAGCAGCTCTTCTCTTTCTCCATCATCAACACTTTGCCATTGTACATATAAACTTACATCTTTTGTCATGGGTCTCGAGAGAGTGAGTCTGAAAGGGTCGTCGAGAGAGTAAAATCAGATGCAAACACTTGTCCTGTAAGAAACACATATTAATTAACCAATACACATACTGTTTCGTATCTTGTACTAGCAGAACAAAATAAACAAAGCTTCATTCATGATCTCTCGAGACTCACCACGTCTTAACAAAAAAAACTCAACAAAGTTTTGTGATTTTATTTGAAAGAAACACATTACTATAAAAAAGTTGTTTCAGCTCAAGAACAACAACAACACCATATCAGACCGTTACAAAGAACTAGAGATTACAATCTCATATATATTATAATCTAAAGCTGCATTCATGAACTCTGTAGACTCACCACATCTTAACAAAAACAAAAACACTCTACCTGAAACAGAGACTTCTCTAGCCTATTGTCCTACACACTATCTCATCACCTATCAGCATGAGCAAGAACACCATATCACACTTGACACAATAACTAGAGACTACAATCTCAGATACATCATAGCCAAAGTCTCCATTTGTCTCTAATCACGTCTTCCTACAAACCTCAACAATATTTAACATGCCTCTCTCACAGCTCTCGTCTCCTTATACATATTCTCATCGAAACCTCTAACAGAAAACATTCTCAGTGAAACAGACCTTGAGAACAGCCTCACTTTCCACAACCTGAGTCATATATTCAGCAGTTAAGTAAAAGCACATGTACTAAACAGAGTAACAGACCAAGCTAAAACCTTAAACATATTCAACATGTACTAAACATAATAACAGAGATCAAAATGATGACTTCCACAGAACATCCATAATAGAATCAAAACCAACCCAAATCAACATAGAAAATGAATAAAAGACATATGCTTAATCTAGAGAATAAACTTAATTGTACACAGACAAGACAAATCCTATCAGTGTATCATCACAAGAAGTATTCATGACACAAAATATTACATCAGAAGAAACCTATTCTCTTGAATGCAATTAGAACAAACC